TGAATACAACTTCTTTAAAATAGGGTGTTCTCCAGCACCCCGGTTGTAGCCCAACCAATTCCTGTGTTATATTTTATTCAAATTTTATAACTATATTCTCCTACAACCAAACCTTCGTGACAAATGATGCAGTTGGGTACTTCAATCAAGATACAGCTAAGCCCTGATGACATACAGACACTTCAACTTGAGGATACTCTGAACACAAATGATCTGTCCCAACAACTGGGCAATGGACAATGACAAAATTTAGGAAAAAATCTCAATTTTTAAAATGTTTATGCTTTAACAGATTTAGCTATCCATAATTCCTAGAATTGAAAATACATCTTTCTGTAAATTTACTGCAATTCACGCATTAAAGCAGGCTGGTTTTGTGCTTTTTTTCAAAAATTCTTTACATCATCTGTGTGTGGAACTATAATGTTCAGTGTACTATTCTTGGCAAAGACCTGAGCAATCCAAGTCATTCCGGGGATGAAAATATCTCTCATAGCATGAACATATTTATTCAATTTCCAGAAAAGGCATCACCTTCAGTAAAATACATCAAACTCTGATGAAAAGCAAAATATTTTGACCACTGAAATATTCTGAGTTACTAACTAATGAAGCCCAAATGTATCCTTAGGTCAATGAAATGTGTGCAACGGTATATCACGTTGATATATTGATGCTTACAATGATATACTGTATTCGGTACCAATGTTTCCCAACACAAGGTCCATGGACCAGTGGCAGTCTGCAGAAATTTTTCTTCTGGAAGGGTGGATTTCTGCAGCATATTAAAATTTAAAAGCTACAATTAAGTCTATTACCTGAAATTTTAGAAAGGCAATGACTGTTGAAATTATCAGATGGAAGAGTAAAAGTTGGCATTTCTTCTTATTAAACCACCCAAGAGTGCCAAGACAGATTTTTACCTGTCTGAAATGAGTTGCTGTAGTGCATTTAACTTTTTAATGCTGCGAAACCTTTCCTTCAGCCCAGCTTTCTAATTGTTTTCAAGACATTTCACTAAAGCTGCTTCATTGGTTCTCAGCTTCCAACTTCATTTTTGGAAAAAGAGACACTTTTAAATATCAACCACAAATTCTTTTGAGCAAAAGTTTTTTGAGTCTGCAAAAATTTAATGAAACTCATCTGGCTATTTGCAGAAAACTTTTGGAAAATGTTGCAGTCTGCCAAAATTTTATGGAAATTAGCTGGTCTGCAACCCATCCGCAGGCCCAAAAAGGTTGACAAAGGCTGGTATGCATGTACCATGCAGTGGAACACAGAAATGAAGACCTGATTGTTGGCTGTCCCTATGTTGGAGCACCCATACCCTGGGTTAGATTGTCCCCAGGACTTAAATCAATTGGTTCTTCTGCTCATCAAAAATTAGGAATGAAGTGCTCAGAAATTTGAATAAAAAATATTTTCAAAGTGCAACAAGTGACTGTGTGCACCCTGTAACCCAGAAACCAAATTGCAATTATATTTTTTCTCCTTATTTGGAAGGAGATCCTTCCCAACAAGGTATTCATTTCCTTGCAGCTGTTCCCCTTTTGTTTTGGTTCCCCCTCTCTCATGTTAGCCTGCATTAATGTGTGATGGTCATTATTGCGCGTTTCTCCTTTTCAACTTGCTATTTGTTGACAGTGACAAATGACCACCACTGCCTTCTTCTAAACTGCCAATTTAGAAGAAGCCTATTCTGTTGAACTTGCAAGTGTATATATGTTATTTATATTTATAATATATACCCGGATGTATATATTCATCAGTGTTCAAAGAACTTGCAGTTCCTCAATCTAGGGAAATATTCCACCTCTATATTTTATTTTTCCAGGAAGGTATAAATATACCTTCCCTCCCACATATTTCTCCAGAATTAATGCAGAGTCATTCACAGTTATTTCTCAGAGATACTTGTGGAACCTTTTAGCAAGACACTCTTAAAGCTCTCTATTTTTATGTTTGTGTGATTGTATGAATGTTGTGAATTGAATATATTTGAAAGTATATATTTTTATTGGACTTGTATATTTTATTTACCTTGGTCTAAGGACAACAACCCCAAAAAATCTCATCTTCTGGCATTAGAAGAAGCTCAAAGAGCAAGAAGAAGTCTAAAACTTGCATCTGCAAAAATCAGGACTCAAGTAGTCTTTTTTATGGAAATTTTCATCAAGTTTCAAAGAAATTTATTTTCAAATTTTCTGTAAAGAAATGGTTCAATTTGCTCAAGAGATATCAAAATTTAAAACAAGATGTTTTCCCGTTTAAGTGGATATGTTGGCAAAGCATCCACTTCTCAAGAAAGTGTCCAGGTGTCACAGCAGATTTTTTTTTTCAGTTTCAGGTGTCCCTAAATCAAAACGTCCATGTGTTGGGGTGGGGCATCCAAATGCTAGAGTCCTGCTGTACCTGCACACACAGGAGTATTTAGCAAAGTTGGGTTTCATATTCTGATACCTTCAAGCCCATCATGAATCAAATGACCCAAGAATATGATACTGATGCTGACTATAATGCTGGATATGGTTGTGATGCTGATACAGTGGTACCGGTGGATCTCCCCCCTCATTCACCTGCGCTTAACTCACCCAAAAAATGCAGAAAAAGGGTCACAGGGATGCTGCTTGCCACCCCTCCTGTCCAGCATCAGAAGACAGCTAGCATAGTCCGTATTTTGGGGACACATTTTTCTTGGAAAACCAGATTGCTGCAAAAGGAGATTTCTAATATATTAAATATATGAACTAACCTAACCTAACTAACCTAACCTAACTAACCTAACCAAGGAGTCCACGAACCCAGGTTTGGGTTCCGAACGCGTGACGCGGACGAGTTCGGGCTTGACAGAGGGTTGTCCGGGTTGCGCGGGTTCGCGCTTGAGACTCACGTCCTTGGTGTGGAGTCCAAAGTCAGAATAGGTTCCGGATGCTGGCGACCAATGAAGTGTGTCCAAAAACTGACCGTCTCTCAGGTATTCGTAAGTTGCGCTGAATTTCCTCGCATCTCTGGAGAAAACAATGAAATGGGTTCCAATTGACTTCCGTCCTACCGCGCGAAATTTTAAAAACTTTATTTTCTTTGCTTCTCTGGGGCAACGGATCGAATGAATAAATCTTTGCAAACTGATAAAAAATTAATTTTATTATAAAAAAAGATCACGGGTCTTGAAATCTTCAGGCAACTTCATGAGAACTCGATCAAGATGATTTTGACAACACATAATTCTCTCGGACAACAATACAAGGAAAAACCTTTGAGGAGTCATGAATAGGACATTGCTGTTCAACATACGGCCCGCGGGCCGGATCCAGACCTCATAGACTTATCATCTGTGCCGTAGTCCCTTCCCTATACTTTTTAAGATTACCAAAATGATTTTTAAGTTAATCGAAATAAAAATTGAAGCACGAATTTAAAAAATTCAAAATGTCGCTCCACCCTTCAAAATAATCTACGAAGTTACGCTTGTGATTCAATGCATAACACTCAAATAAATTTCAAACTCATCATTCAATGGAGAAAATTAGGAACCTTGAAAATTATGGCCCTCAAAGACTATCCATCTATACAATTTGGCCGTCAGCAACACCTGAGTTGGGCAGCATTGCAGTACTAATCTAGAGCAGTGTTCCTCAACCCGTGATCCGCGGACCGGCGCCAGTCCGCAGAAATTTTCAGGTTGATGAAAAATGAAAGTGTCCTTTTCTACAGCTAACAATTGACAAATTTTCACCTGTTGAATATTAATTATTTCAATTTTTCATTCCGAGAAACTTTGCTTCGAGCCCACCTTTCCAATTTTCTGAAGGCATTCCACTACAGCTGCTTCATGGGTTCTGACTTAATTTTTGCAAAGAAGCGGAACTTTTCAAGGATCTCCCCCCTCATTTGCCTGCGCTTAACCCACCCAAAAAAATGCAGAAAAAGGGTCACAGGGATGCCGCTCGCCACCCCTCCTGTCCAGCATCAGAAGACAGCTAGCATAGTCCGTATTTTGGGGACACATTTTTCTTAGAAAACCACAATGCTGCAAAAGGAGATTTCTAATATATTAAATATATAAACTAACCTAACCTAACTAACCTAACCTAAAACCTAACCTAAAAACCTAACCTAACATAACCTAAAAACCTAACCTAACATAACCTAACCTAACTTTAAAAAACTAACCTAACCTAACTAAACTAACCTAACCTAACCTAACTAACCTACCCCAAAAATGCAATGAATCAAATAAATATGTTGAATTTAAAAAATTAAAATTCATTCAAAAATTCTTTGAATAAACTAACCTAACCTAACTAACCTAACCTACACCAAAAACCCAATACTAAACTAACCTAACCTAAGTCACCCAACCTACCCCAAAAATGTGATGAATCACATAAATGTTTTAAATTTACAAAATTAAAATTAATTCAGATGTTATTTTACGAGTATGCACAGACAGGGGTATCTCAGGGCACGATGTCCCATGCACCAAAAATATCAGGAAGGAAGAGGAGGGGAGGTGAGCAGGCAAGGAAAGTTGACAACAAAGGACCCCTGCGGGACCCTTTTTTTGGGACCATTACTGCGTGTAAATGAGTTCCTTGACGGTACCAGTGCAGAATCCAATGCTGGAAAAAGAACACACACAAACAGACTGATATTTGCAGTCATCCCCGGCACAAGACTGATGATTGGCACGTTTCACTTGGGTCTGCAAGGGCCATCAGCAGGATGCACCTGATGATGGTCCAGGTCGCCAGCAAAGCAAGACACTGCATGCAGCAGACATGCCTGCTGGTGGTACCTGCGCCTCTCGGGCGTTGCTTGAGGAACATCCCAGTACTGTGCTGTGCTTGAAGGTGGCTTCCGGTCATACAGTACTCTTATTACACACCTCATACAAGTGCAATAAGTACTTCTGCTGATATGAAGCCCATGATGTTGCTGGAGGAGTCACAATTATGTATAGCTGATGTCCAGCACCAGGCGCCTGGTTTTTGCCTTTGTTGGTGCTGGTAGTGGTGGGTTATTTTGCAGGGGATATCTGTTGGGTTCACACCCTGGCCATTGCTGCTCATTTCTTCTTCTTTTTTTAATTGGTGTGTTTAACTGCTGATATTGATCATTCATGGAAGCTGAGGACTCAGGAGTACTGTGTCACCCAAGTCTTTTGTGGTATAAGATGGTACCAATGCCTGAAAGCCCCCCTTGGCAAAAGCCAAGCATCCCTGTGAATATTTCTTTTCAAATATGGATGAGAGTTTTATAACAGTAATGTGCAGTATTCATTGGCCCTACAAATGGCCAATTGGTGGAAAGTGTTCTCAAAATGACTGTTCAATAGTCATCTTTGCCATATTGTCTTCTGATGCCTCTTTCTTGCTGTTATTGATGCTCTCTCTATCTCGCATCTCCCTCTCTCTCCTTTTCATCTTGATCTGAAGTGCACTATGCTGCCATTGGACCAAAAAGGTAAACTGTAGATGTGAGTTTTCCAGAAGTCAGCAAGCAATTATACTTTGACACTAAAAGAAGTACTGATGACCACTGCAGGAGAAGAATCCCCTTATATATAGTATATTCACCTTAAAGGAATATGGGTGCTGGGCTTGCTGGCAAAAGGTTCAGCTTGCCATATACTGTATACTGTAGTTCTAAAAACACCATTCTTTGGCATTGTGCTGGTGCTGCTGGTGGAATTTGCAGTGCAGCTTACCATCAATAGTTGTAGGAATAACTGTCATCCCTGAGCATTTGCTCAAAGGAAAGGGGGGGGAATTTTGGCAGGAGGGGTTTTTGCCGTTTCAGATTCCAGGGGCTTTTGGCAAAGGAGCTTTCAGAGGGCGGCTTTTGACCTAGGGGGATTATGGCAGGGGGCTTTTGGACGTAATTCATACGAGATAGTAGTTTGCAGGGTTTCAATCCATTATACCCATCAGCATGAAATAACCAGCGTTTCAAAAGTCTCGAGTTACGCAGTTGGTTTGGAATCTAAAATACCTGCCGAAAATGAGCTGCTCTGTTGCTGATCCGTGGAGACGTTCTAACTTCTTCCCATACTGTCTGCATGCTGTATGCATTACTGCAAAATAATCAGCAACATGACGCCGAAAATAGCGAGTAAAGGCATTACAATATCATGTACTGTATGATGATTGAGACTATATTTCTCGAGATTCTGTCGACCACTTGAATCTGCCTTCCTTTGCTGAATCCCGTAACTATTGGAAATGTGACGATGGGTGCCAGAGAAACCGGACAATTTTCAATACTTCCGCGTTTTTCCGTGTGAGTCACATTTCTAACTGCCTGATGGCAGGATGAGTAACAAATTCTTTAAAAAAAAATGTAGACATGTGAAAAGAACCGAAAAGGGAAAATGTACAGTGGAAACTCTTCCCTTTCGCTCATATGGGAACTTTGACAGAACTTTCAAGTGAATGTCAGCTCGCAAAACGTAATTCGTTATTATGATTAAAAGAATAATTGAAAATGTTGTGAAGTGGTGGGAGTTTTTTCATTCACCAGTTGGACATTTTGCGAAAGAAGGCATCTGCATCAATCTTTCAAGATTTATGCATCATCAATCAGCTGCTGAACTTCTGAAATTTGTAAAAAACAAAAAATCCATGATGTAAGAGTGCACTATGATATTGAACCTGGAGTTCAACTTTCGTATTCAGTGTCTATTACAGAAGAACATGGATGTTCATGTTGGAAAAAAGTTTTAAATGGGATGCTTAAGAAGTGTAATCAATGTTTTTCTCATTCGAAGGCAATTTCCCTTGTGCCTGTATATTTAATGTTTTCATTTGTGGACGATGCTCATCAGAATTTGAGTGCACCATTTTCATAGGGTGTGTGTGTTTTCAGCAATATTGTTATTCCCTGCAGCCACGAACCACAAGTTTGCGCATTTGTGATAAAATACATGAAATCACAGTATTTGCAAAACCGATATAAAAAAATTCCCGCATATTCGCTGAAAGTCATTTGAAGGTCGTTCCCCCATCCATATTTTTGTGTTGCTCTATCACCTGTACCACGAAAAGGCGCTGGTTTTGCAAAATATTCCTTCTTGTAATACAATAGATTTTATATATGCTTGCACTGCTGCACTCGGATATTTGGTTCTGTTGTTATGTGCAGCAGAAATAAAAGCTTTGCCGTTCCCTATATTCCCAACAATTTTACATGTACTACTGTACTGTAGTACCGAAGCTGGTACTGCACTATAATTTGCATCCAATTTCCATCATAGCCCCCTCATGTATATACTGCAGAGAAAAAACGCCGCGAGCCTGACTGAAATCAGATTCGCTTCCACCAATGCAGAAAAGATGGAAGAAAACAAAAATTGCTGGGTTCGCAGCGTACCCCGAAGCAGCAGACACGTGCAATCCGAACTCGGTCATCGGGCTGATCCTCGGGCAGATGAGTTGACGATCGGAACAAGGACTTGTTATCTGTATATATATATCTCATGTATACTCTTTGTCGCTTGCTGTCTGCTGAGCACGTGCCTCATTATTGCCCCGAGGAGGAGGAGGAGGAGGGCCCTCGCTTGACATCAGCAAAGGCAGGCCATTGCCCCACCACCACCATCATCATCAGTAGCAGAAGCTTATTCAAAAAACATAAACAGCATCAGTGAGTGCAGGTACGGCACGAGCCATAGGGCACATAGCACAGGTGAGGGGGGAATTTACGACCTCCACTTGCGGCAGGCCAGGAATGCGCTACTAATTTCGAAAGCCGCAAATTTCTGCCTCCCTGGATCCTTGCCCGAGGCAATATACATCGGAACAAGGTGGGCCAAAAAAAAAACAGTGAACCACTTTTTGACTTAAAATATAGCTAGGTGCAGCGAATTGAGCCGTGGCAATAATGAAGACACTACACCAATAAAAATGCAAGCTGGTTAAATTATCTTTCAAATGGAATAGTCCAATGCTTGCAATATATCCAATACATTCAGCATTCTTTTCTTCATTGCCACTGCTCAAGTTTCCACGTAGCCATTTCAAGCTAACATTTTATTCCACCCTGCATGCCACATGCAGTATACAAGGGTTCTTACAAAAGTCCTCGGAATGGAAATGAAATTGGCATCTAATCAAACTGAAAAAAATTATTCTTTAGAGAAAACATATTATTTGGCACAAAAAAATTGGCCCTGTTTGAAATTTTTTTATTGTTTTGAAAGATTCACCCTGGTAGAGTTTATTATCCACTCAAATTGATGAGGCACTCTTCCAGCAGTTATTTTTTTTAGCCCAGTTTTTCCCTCAGAATTCTTGCAATCAACATAACTGCCTTCACTGCCGCTAATGTGGCAGCTATTGATGAAAATTTTCATTCATTTTTTATGTGGTGGCCTTCACAGCCACCACATTGGCAACCGCCTTCACAGTTGCCAATTTGGCAGCTGTTGATGAAAATGGTGGAATCACCTTGGAAGACGTGGAGGCAACCCTTGGAATTATTGCCATGTTGATTTCAAGAATTCCAAGAAAAAAGCTGGGCTACAAAAGAAAAAAACTGCCAGAAGGGCGCCTCATCTTTTGAGTAGATAGCAAAACTCTGACAGGGTGAAGTTTGCGAAAAATTAAGGAAAATTCGTGAAACAGGGCTGATTTTGTTTGTGTGCCAAAAATGTGTTTTCCCTGAAGAATAATTTTTTTTCCGTTTGATAAGATGCCATTTTCATTTCAATTCTTAGAACTTTTGTTCAAACCCTTGTACAGTGAGACCCACACATGCGGACACCCCAACATGAGGACATTGCATAATGAAATTTCCAATAAGTTTTACTAAAATGACTTTTCTTGGATTGCAAGAAACAGATATTTCCAACCCTAAGATGTATGAAGAAAAATTATTTGTAATTTCTCCCATCATTTTCCCATACATTCAGCTAATTAAAAACATATTTTTGCATAGAGGGACTTCCTTCTCTCATTGTGACTTGAATGTTATTTCTGTAGATGCCAACTTTTTGATGTACAGTACAGAGAATCAGAGATAAACTATTCATTTCTCCAAATGTTCTTATTTGGTTGAAAATATATTCACAGAATCAAATTCAAGGGGAAATGTTTGTTTTCATGGAATTCTGAAGAATATTTCTTCCACAATAACACCAATTGAAAATTATATAATGCAAGTCTAAGGGAAAACAAGACTCAACTTAAGAACAATTCATGTGAGGGACACTCTTGATGCACGAATTACATCCACATCTGGGGATCTCACTGTACTGTACATGGGGAATTTGAGGTGGAAAACAAAATGAATAAAGGCATTCCTCTCTCTCTCTGTTTTTTCCATCATCCACTTTTCTCTCTCTTTTGGTTTCTTTCCTTCAACAAGAAAATCCTGCTGCTCTGGATTTTACCAGGAAGAAATCTGCATTTGCTAGAAAATTCAAGCTGCCTGAGCAGGAAAAATGCGACTGCTTCTCTCTCTCTCTCTCTTTCTGTATATAGTACAAGATATATATTATAGAAAGCTGAAGGCGGAAAGAAGAGAATCAGTGGGGGGTGTTTTGTCGTCGTCAGCATTGCAAATGACGACGGCGGCACCAGGCAGCGTACAAACAAAACAGAAATGCCCAGGTGAAACTGCACACGGAAGTGAAGAAAGAATATCTCGCAGCCCAGTGCCATGAATGCATCCACTGCAGCAGCTATATAAGAAAGAAACAAGTGATTCAGTCCAACTTGGGGCCAGCATCCATGCCCCACTTATTATTGCGGAGAGACCGGCAAATGAAATGAAGACTTTCATCATTCCGCTCATCCTCGAGGGTCCTTTTCTTTCATATGTACAGAATACAATATTCCTCTGTCTTCGCAAATAAAAAAAAGAGGGAACAAGAAACAAGTGTCGCCAGCAGCAGCAGCAGCAGCAGTCAGCGAAAACTCGACGAATGAACAAAAAACACAAGGCAGAAATTGATCACTTGATCCCTATCAGGGCACTGATGCTGAAACTGCTGAATACAGAGTTTGTGGCGGTGGTGGTGGTGTTTTTGGTGGTGGTGGCAGGACTGCTAATTGCAGTCTTGTTCATCACTAATGCTGGCACAACTCCTCCTTCCATCTGGTCTCTGTCATCATCATCATCATCATCGTCGACGTGTATCACTTGGTCTTCGTCATCATCATCATCATCACCATCATCTCCTCGACCATCGTCGTCGTCTTCATCGTCGTTTAAAATTTCACTGATGCCGTCGTCAGCATCTTCTTCTTCCTCTTCTCCTTCTTCTTCCTCCTCACCGTCGTCTAATTGCTCCTCCTCCGGAAGCAGGGATTTATTATTGGTGCTGGACACATTGGGAAGACGACTCTTTTCAGCAGCAACAGAAGACAAAGAAGGATTCATCAGGGATGCCGCCGTCGCCAGCACATTGTTGGTGTTGTTGTTGTTGTTTGTGGTAGCTCCATTAGTAGTAGTACCACCACCACCACCACCGCTGCCACCGTGTGTGAGACTGTGGCGCCGGAGATCGCAGTTGCGACGAAAGACCTTGCCGCAGCGGGCGCAGTGGTAGGGCTTGATGTGGGTGTGGGTGAGCAAGTGGGTCTTGAGGTTGGAGCGCTGGTTGAAAGTGCGCCCACAGGTGGGGCACTTGTGGGGCGACTCCTCCAGGTGGAGCACCTTGTGGACGGCCAGGGTGCGGGACTGGCAGAAGCCCTTGCCGCACTCGCCACAAACAAAGGGCTTCTCCTTGGAGTGGATGTACCTGCAACGCACACACAAACACACACATCAGAGGTGACCACGGCACAGGACCAGCAAGGAAAAAAGGTATTAATACATGATGCTATATGACATTAAGGGCTGTGATTATACTGTACATATACAGTAGACTGTCATTGCAACCAATACTTTTACAACAAATAGTTTTCAGTACAACAAAGACCCAGCCAAAATCCTATTGGGTACATGTTACAGGTGGTACCTCACAATTTCACCCTAATCCGCATTGCTGGTCTAGGGTCAAATTGTCAAGTGGTCAAATTGCACAGCAAGATCAAATGCAACTTTTTCTGCATCATATTCAATATTTTTGTCTATCTGTGTGGGTCAAATTGCAGGGCATATGTCAAATTGAAAATTAACCCCCAGCAAATTTGACCATTGAATTGCAGGAGGTTGAATTGCAATAAGGTACCTCCTGTATAATACTGTAATAGCATTATAAAACTGTACCAAACTACCCAATTCCAGTAAAACAAACTTTTTTGTGGAAAACGCTGTGATTTCTTAATAAATAAATAAATCCCAAATGAAGGTAGACACAGTCCCAAATTTCCATTTAAAATGTCACTGTTTAAAATTTTTTGTTCTTGGGACATAGGGTGGAATCAAAGACAAAAATGCTTCAAAATTCACCAGAACATCCTCTCTTTTAAAAATTTTTCTACTGGGTTAAGAAAACATGTGGTGGGGGAGGAGAGGGGAGATGAAAGAAATGAACCTCGCAAAACTAATGTCAAAAGGATTTGTATGCTTGAGAAACCTTGCTGGAGCTTAAAAATTGAAAGCTTTTTTTGTGGACCATCCACCCCTACAAATCTGTGCATGAATTGCTTAGAAAACTTGAAAAAAGTACTATGGTTTACCTGCAATTCGAAGTAAATATTTATTCTTAACATTCAATCATTCATTTCTCTTTGAACATTACAGCTTTTTAACACTAACAAATCCTGAGCCCACAAGAGAAAGATGTTGAATAATTGCAATCAGTCAAAAATATTGAAAATCACATCATAACAAAATTTTTCCCATAACAACCTTTTTCTGAAGTCCCCACAAGTTTTTGGAAATGAGATTTTACTGCAGTACCAGGGTACAATATGGTTACAACAAAAAATTTGTGGAGGGGGCTCAAGAAAAAAATGTCGTCATTAATAATTTGTTTCAACCAGATTCAGATAATGAATCACTGGGAATTTAAGTTCTTCCTGCATATATTTTTAGACTTTCCTTTTTCTGACCATTTCAGATGTTCAGCCATGTTTGGAAAATTTGGCTTTTTTCTCAAATGTGTTAAATGTTAATGGTGAATCATTCTCCACAATTCCTTGGTCATATCATCTATGTCATCAGAGGCATTGTCTGTGTGTTGTGGATTTGTTTTCAAGCATTCTAACATTGCAAAAATCTTGAGCTGATGAATTTCGGTCTTTTTCATTATGAATATACAGTACTCATTCGATAGGTTGCTAAGACGATCACGTGCAGGTTAGCTGGAAAAAGTTGAATATTCGGTGAAGCAGAAAATGACCAAAAGTGAAATGGAAAATTGACAGTTAATAAGTTAACGACAGTAATTGAACTTTAGTCTTTAATTAAATGATCGATGAAACGGTTTACTCGTACCTGTAGTATCACGTGCAGCTAGTACAAACTCGTGCACAAAATGTGTCGAAGGTTAAAACAGCATGCAGTAAAATGAATCAAGTTTAAATTTATTATTCAAGTTTTTCATTTTTCACAATTCAAACAAACTGATATTTCGAAGATCATTAAAAAGAATCGCCCGCAGAAATTCAGTAAAATGAGGATTTTTTTACAATCATAAATTGAATGATCGCATGTTAATAAAATTATTTTAAATTGTTCTATGCGTGTTTTCGTTTGGGATAAAAGCTCAATTCCCGGTTTGAGAAGTGATCGTGCAACATATTTGTCAGAAATATGCCTGAAGATATTTTCGAAATTGGAATTGATCAAGGAAACTCGAATAACGGGCGAATTTCCATTTTCGTGGCATTTATTTAGGTTAACCAATTTTCGTAGCTCGAAAAAATTATCACGATTCTCGTACACCCAGTACAGCGTACAAATGCATGGAGCGGATGAAAAAATTGCAAGCGGATCCAAAAACGCCTCTAAATAACTCTAAATAAGTGCCTATGTCTGGAATAAAATCAAAACGTTCATATGGAAATTTTATGCTGACTGCTGCAGTCTCACTTGATTCTATTCTGCAAAATCCTGAACCCAGAAATTAGAAATAATCTACATAACCAGTAGGGCAAGATTTGTTACCTAAGCCACAAGGCTGGTAGTAAACTTGCCACAAGCCGTTGTGGTTTGCATTTCCTTGAAGCTAACTGTGACTTAAAAGAATATCTTGAATAACACCTTTTTGAGATTTTAGGATAACATCTTCCAAGAATCATTGCAGCCAAAATTTGACCAATGATAAAATAAAATGATAAGATGATACAAGTACAGTACATCTGCGAGATGATGGAATTTCACTACAGTTCCTCATTCAGTAGATTGTGGATAACTCAAACCTTTTGAGGTCTTGGTCTGAATTCCCTTGGAAACAGTACATAAAACACCAAGAAGCATCTCCATTACCTTAAAAGTGCATCATCATCTGATGAAACCTCAGTAACTAGATTTTTCGGAAGCTCTTTGGCCATTATCTTCTTGACACAAGCAGGAAAGAGAAAGGCAGTAAAAAGTAACTTGATGCGTTTCAAAAGGAAGTGAAAATTCATTTGTGCAAATGATCCCCTGCTGCTCATCCAAGGTCGCCATCATCCTGCCAACTAATTTCACCCTTTGTGAGGCAAAGTCAGGATATTTTTGCAAAATGTTGTGCCCATGAGCACTGATAATAGAAAAAAAATATTTTTTGCACCAATGCCAAAATTGGGAAAAAGTCTGATATTTTTTCTATTATCCTGCAAAAAACGTTGCCCCAAAATGGAATTTTTTTATCAGTAAATGGCTTTTTCAGGAATTCCTTGCATAGAATTAGCATTAGAGCTTTTGGAATACAAAAGGATTCACCCTTTCCAGGTTTTCCCCAACTTAGGCACATTTCAGGGACCTTTTGTCAAACTGAAATGCACTTTTAAAATTCAATCCTCTCACAAGTCTTTTTTTTTCTTACTGGTACAGTATTTTGAAATCCGACTGCTGTATTCGCTTTTATACTGTACACTACAGTACTGTACAGTTCCAGACAGACAGACAATAATGACTGTTTGGATTTCGGTCTCATCATCGCGTGATGACGGACGACTCATTGACGAGTTCCGTACAAGAGTGAGTATACATTACTGTACAACGTACCTGTGGTCTCGCAAGTGGTCCTGCCTCCGAAACGCCTTGCCACAGATGTCGCACGAGTACGGGCGCTCGTCCGTGTGCGTCCTCTCGTGGATCAGCAGGTTGTAGCTCTTGGTGAACTGGCGCTGGCAGAACTTGCAGATGAACTGCTTCTTGGGCCTCGACGCCCTCTTATTGTTCACAACACTGCTGCTGCTGCTGCTGCTCATGGTGGTGGTGGTGTTGGTGGCCAGGTTCGTCGCAATGGCGGTTGTCATGATGGCACTGCTGGTGCCGTTGTTGGTATTCGTGACGATGACACGACCAGCAGCAGCAGCAGGTGCTGGTACCACGACCGTCGACAACGCTGGTGCAGGTACTGGCATTGCTCCCATCACCCGGTGATACGATACTGACTTTTGATCGGTGCCACCTTCTTCTTCCTGCTGATGATGATGATGATTATGATGATGATGCACCAGTAATCCCGGTGGTGGCTGGTGGTGGTGGTGTCGCATCATCACGGGAGGGGGAGGAACCCAGCAACTCGTCCTGTGTTGATACGGATGCTGATGGTTATTGTTGCGGTTGCTCATCTTTTCTCGGCCTTCGTCGTTATTATTATTATTATTATTCTGGCTACTGCTGCTGAAGACGACGACCTCTGCTCTTCGACGACGCCGACGAAGACGACGACGACGACGACGGATGAGCTCATCATTGTTCTTCCTGCTGCTGCTGCTGTTGTTGTTGTTGTTGCTGTCCCCGTCGGCGTCGTTGCCTCCCGCGACGAAAAAGTCGCCACTGTCCGAGTCGGAACACGAGGACGCCGACGACGACGAGGAGGACGACGACGAAGATGACTGCAATGTGGCGGACTCGGCGAGTCTGGCGAAATCGAACCTGGGTCGCTTCCTGCTGCTGCTGCTGCTGCTGTTTCCTCCCTTGCTCCTCTTCTCATTAGCATTCTTCATTCGTCCATTTTCCACTGCTGCTGCTGCTGCTGCTGCTCGTCGCACAACTGCCTTGAATGCCGACACCGACAAGCCGGGCGTGTAGACGGCGGAAGACGACGACGACGACACGGGCACCAGCATGGACGACAACGCGGCGAAGACGACGATGAAGACGTCGACAAGGTGGAAAACGTCGATGGCAGTTGGGACCCTGGCCCCAGGAGACGGAAGCCCTGCGTGAGGCTCGACAGGGCCGCCTTCTCCGCCGTCGTGCGCGACACGATGTCCGTCGCCAGGTAGTGGTGCTGACGGAACAGAAGGTCCGTCGACGACGACGACGATGATGACGACGACATCATCCTCTTGAGCGTCTCTCGTCCGGACCGGATGAAAATGCACTATGTCACAAAATGAAATTAAAAAAAAAAACACTGGGCAAACTGACGGGAGTTCTCGCTTCCCGTCCTACAATTCCTTATTATTCAACTGTTGCTGCTGCGGGAATGCGCAATACGGTATCTGGAATATAAGCATGAAAACAACACATTATTATTGCACAGTACAATATGGGATTCCGCTTCAACAAACGTGGCTGGCAGGCTTTTGGTTTTTTTTTTGTCGCCCATCAGCAGTTTCTTCAAAGGCGAGACAATGTTCTAAAAATTACATAATACCAAATCCATTTTTGATTTATTTACCTGAGTGAAATGAATTTTGCCAAATGTGTTGCATGGCAGCAGGAATTTTTACCAATTGGCACATGATGGCAATACCCAACTTGCACATGCATGAAAGATGCAAATTCGAATGTTTTTGCACATAGAAATTTAGCATTGCAGAAAATACGAAGGTCAAGTCAAAATTAATTTATATATATGTTGCAATTTCGAAATGTCATATTTTTGAAGGAAAAGTTTGTATGGGTGGATGGATGGATACTGCTCCATTTCAGAGGGAGCATGCAGTGGTTCTTGACGCGTATATGTGCTCTTTTTGAATAGTTTTCGAGAATTTGAAAAATGAAAGGTCTAAAATAATTGAATCACATTTAATTCAAAAATTTCAATTCCCTGGATAATGCTGTCAGAAGAAGTTGGAAATGCTGCAGACAGTTCTTAACAAACCTTGTTTCCGGAGATAATTTTGATCAAGTATAGCCTTTTTCTCAATTTATACTCAGACGTAAACATAAATATTAGAATCATGAATTTCTCATCAGGCCTCTGCTGATGGGAGTTTGTTTGAACAAGATTTAATTGCATTTTCTTTTCCATGCCTGAGCATCAGCAGGGAAAAGCGGCAGAGCAGAGTGCAGCGTACAGTACTGTACATGCACATCAGTACAGTACAGTAAGCCGTACACAGTACACTATGGAATATACTGCATATAATCTCCCGCAGAGGAAGGAAACAGGTGATTTATGCTCAGAAGCAGCAGTAACACTACTATGCAACTGCTCCTGAGGATGATGGTTCCTCAGTATGTTAACTGCTGACCCGAATGACGCCGAGGGACAGGCGAATATCGCCGAATCACTGCTAAATAGCAGCGGATGAGGGACCAACTCCTGCCATGCATCCAGTGCAGTCTATTGTACAACACGGGACAGTGCAACTCTCACTCTCACTCCAGACATGAACAACAACAACAGCAACAACATGACCACACACAGAGCCTGCGCACCGACACCAAAACATGAGATACCTCACAGCAGCTCATCAGTATGCATCCGTGGTGGGGGGTGGCGATGAGGGAGAATTCCCTTCCCTGCATAATCCGGATCGAATCATGCTGGCAACCACAACATACAACCAGGAAGGGGAAAAGAAATATAAGAAAGGTGGGAAGCATCAGTCCTAATGCTTTAACAGACAAATCGCGGTCGTCCAAGTACACATAGTGTATGTTATGTGGTCAAGTACACTTGACAAATTCAATTTGATAAACAGGCATCACATAATTATGCAAAGAGACTATGAGCTTTGTGCAGAGACCTTAAATACTGCTTTTCACAAATATTTACATAGCATACACAGTTCAATGGTTAGGATTAACCATATTCATGTGGTGCCCTGCAATTTGACCATAATCTGTAGCAGGACTAGGGTTGAATTGGGAAGAGGTCAAATTGCACAACCATGTCAAATTTGATGTTTTGGGTCTCTCTGCAGGTCAATTGAGGGGCAGAGGTTGAATTGCAAGTTGATGCCCCAGCAAATTCTACCACCAAATTGCAGGACAATCAAATTGCAGAGCATTTAATTGAAAGGTACCACCTGTACCAGGAAAAATCTTCAAGTCCAACTTCAATGAACATTTGAGCTATAGGAAGGTTTTGAGTTATGCAGAGGTAAATTAACATGTTTCTCTTTTGGGTAGAAGGAAGAATCACAGAAAATTTTGGATATTGGTGATATTTTTCAAGCTTCAGATTTAATTTGTAGGAGAGTTGAAAGGATGTTGAATTTGTAGCTACAAGGGTTCATTTGCACAATGTCTTTCACTTTCAACATTAGTTGATTGATTGATATACAAGCTTCATTTCCTGCTCATCACCATTCACAAGGTTTGAAAAATGTTTTCCACATCCAATGCCAAACACCCCCCCCCCCCCCCCACACACACACACATGTATATAAATGTATATATACCAAACCCCAACCCCCCCCCCCCCCCCCCCCCACACACACACCACCATTCCAACACATTCCAGCATACGATAATTCACTACTGTATATAGGTATTGAAAGAAAATGCATCACAGTCCATATAAACACATGGGTTTCTTTTTTTTTACAAAAGCACAGCATGAGGCGATTACTCATACAAAATTACCGAATTAAGATACAAGGCGTCCACCATGTTCCCACATGATACCTAATAATTTTAATCCATTGAACAATTTAGAGGAAAGCTTTGATGAGATATCACTCAAAGCCAACAGTATTTCCTGGTCCTTCAAGATTTGTGAAATGCTTTTTTTTCATCAGGTTTTGAGAATCCGAAGTCTATTTTAAAAAACAATTCCATTGCTGGGTATGATGAGAGAAGACGGTTTTCTGGAGACTTTCTTTCAAAGCACATCAAGTTACATTTGTAACTGCTTTATTCTTTTTTTTTCCTCTGTGAAGAGAATAATAGCCAATAAGAGACCTACATAAATTGCAAATTACAGAGGTTTCAGGTGGAAATAGCCTTGTGGGGTCATGGGTGGGTTCTCCAATGAAATTCAGACTATAGGACTTATAATAATGAGAGAAAAAAGGCAAGAATTTGAACATGGGGTGAGGTTCGAGTTACTGAGAGATTCACACCCGCGCGAGGGGGACCAAGTGCTGGTGGTGCCGACCACAGCCATGGGACTACATTGAGTAAGTATCGGTACGAGCACGAGGATATGAGGGTCTGTTATGGCGTCACTCACATTCACATTCACGTCTTAGTTCCGGCCAGCGATGTCGCGAATTTTCTTTCGTTTTTTGTTTTTCTCCCGGCCACAGGTAGCCCCCCCTGGAACTGGTGTTTGGTGCTGCTGACACGACGAGGACGAGGTTTGGTGACGAGCAGCGTGCATAAGTGATATGATAAGGTGTGGGGGGATGCTCGGAGCTTGGCGGCTCCTGGTGGCGACAAGGCACATTATGCATCCTTCACTCACTCACTCCTCTTCGTCATCGTCACTCGTCGTCGTCGTCGTTTCCATAAACCCGCCGACCTTTTCCCCCCGCACCAGCACCGACACTCGCGTGCCCCGAAACAGTAGCAATGAGTCCCGAGCTATCGCCGTCAGGCATTTAGTATACCGCAGCCATATTCCGCGTATACTATACAGCACATAGAATTCAGTACAGGGGAGTGCATCAACTTTTCTGTCATCTATAAATTCTATACCAGTGTTCCCTAATCCGTGGTCCGCAGACATTTTTTTTTGCTGGCCAGCGGGGAATTTCCTCCAGCATGATAAATTCATCATAATTAGCAATGAAGGGCATAACAGTAACTTCATCTGGAATTTTGGCACGACAATGGCAGTTGAAGTCATCTCATGAAACATGACTTTTTCTCCTAATAGCACTCCAGACAAATTTTCACCTGATCAGGAGTGAATTATTTTAATTTTGTATTTTGAGAAGCCTTTCTTCAAGCCCAGTTTTATAATTTTTTGAAAACATTCCATCATATCTGCTTCATTGGTCCCTAATTTAATTTTTGCAAAAAAGCAAAAACTTCTCCAGTCTGTGTAAACACACAGCAGTATGAAAAAGAAAGACATTTTCTGAAATTTACTGGGTAATTTACCGTTTTTTTTTTTTTTTTTCGTGGAGCAATCCAATTTTGTCAGGTTGACGGAAGGGGCTTCGGGAGAGAATCAAAACACAATGGAGACCTTCTTTTATTAATTCCAGTAAAGTAAAGACTGCAAACTAATATGTTTATCCTTTCAACTTATCCAACCTGGAAAGCAAATTCATGCATCGTACAATAACACAAGAACGGAACTTAATTTACGCGCCCATTTTTATTGAATTGAGAAGGTAATCAGAAACTCACCCACGCAAGGCATGTGGAAAATGCATCAATTGCGTAGCATAGTCGTTTCGACTCATCCGCAGTAATGGTAGGCAGAAATTGGAAAAGTTGATGAGCATAACTTGGATTAAATGCCTGGTCAAGATAAAAACTCCAATAAATGGTCAAATGATTAGAAAAATTGAGCAACTGGCGCCAAGCTACTGATATTGAATTTTGTGATTGGGAGAAATTCTCTCGTCACATCCGCATGAACACAATAAGAAATATTATACTTTTGCTTCTGAAGGGATTCGGAGGGACGAGAGTAAATCTCAAAATACACACTACACCATGTACACAGAAACATGATTCATATCCTGAGTTTCGAAGGTAATTGTCTTAGTGCGTCCACAGAAAACTGTGGCAGTTTTACGGCCTCTTCACGACTTTAAGTAGTCTTCTTTTCGTTAGTAATACAGTACAAATAAAGAAACGATGCAGTGCTGAAATATGTGATGCATCCGACAAGTGCAAAATAAATTTCATCAGCTGCCCGCAGTCTTTACGTTATAATAGTTTACTCTAACAAGTCAAGTTGAACGCTATGACACAGTTATTACGTGCGAAAAAAATTGTCGACATTATTTGGAGTCTTGCGACCAACAAAATTGAGCTGTTCGCATTAAAAAGAGTAAACTTATACAGTATTTCAGTATGAATTTACGCAAGTTCATCATCAAAAGCAAGCTACCTGTTAGCTTTTTTTTTTCGTCCATCTTCTTGGCACAGCATAGAAAGATTTCTATTCGCTTTTCCAGCTCTTTTCGATGCCAAAAGATCAGATTGTGCGGGGTTTTCTTTTGCACAGTCATTTTCCATAACTTTAAGTTGACAAATAATTCATTAGATTTATTGGGGATCTTTCTTTTACATTTTTGATGAACTGGAAAACTAATTACTGTAAATGAGTTGCTGTTGAAGTAAGTCAGCGGGAAAATCGGATCCAAGATGCGGATGTTCCCACACAGGAAAAGGGCCAAGCACCAATTACAACTCTTGTATACTACAATAAGATTCAGATAATCATGCAATGCAAAGCCCCTGAAAACAAGTGTCCATCACTATTAAAAAATTTTTTTTACACAGACTCTTAGCAGCAGTCAGGAACACGCTGGTCTTCACAATTATTGTCTCGACTGCCAATATTTGAAAATGTTCTTTAGGATGCAGCACAGCAGTACGGTACACGATGCAGTACGCGAAGCATGTACTGAATAAAACAACGGGGGAAAGACGGAAGTGGTCGGCATCAAAGTACAGTACTACAGCACAGTATACCGTTTGTTGCGAGATCTCCCAACTTTATTATTTGTCATGCAAATTTCTTCATCTTGCCGCGGGGGGACTTGTTACTGGACACGGTTGTGGTCGTCGCATCGCTGCATTCCGACGCAAATGGAACCCGATATAAATCACCCCCAAGGGGCTTTACTGCATTGTACTGTACTGCACTGAAATCGACTGGGCTTCCGTGCCAGATTCCAGCGAGGAGGACATCATTATCTGAACGTATACTGTACTGCATACCGTATATACCGTACTGCACTACTGTATCTGTTTTTTTTTCTTCTTCTTTTAATTTCATTTTTGCTCTGAAGTGATTAAATGTCATTAAGTGGATTCAAGTTGGGTGGGAAGAGGGTTTGGTTGTGGAAATCTTGATTGAACCTTGTGAACGCTGAAAAGCGGCAAAGAAAGTGTTCTGTTTATTCATTTCTACTTTTTTTTCTACTGGGATCGTTTGATGACGGGATTGAGTTCATTTCCATCCAAGTGAAGGATAATATGTACTTTATCAAGATACGGTACAGTACAGTAAATAAATGCATGCTGTTGGAGGCATGGCTCAAAGGTATTTAATCCAGTACTGTATCTTAACACGCTCCTCTTTTGTTAATTAAGAAGGGAAACGAGGGAGACGCATCATAGGCAGGTGTACATTAAAAAAAATTCGAAATGTAGGCCTTGCATTATTTTTTGATGCTAATGGGCAATTTTGGACCAAGTTGGACGAACAGAAGAAATTATTTTAATGGTAAAAATTCAAAAATCAGTTGACTTTGGTTCTATTCATGTCGAAATTAAAATTAGGGTGTTTTAATCTTTGAAACATACCAGTGTCGGAGTCACAGAAAAAAAACGGTGTGCATCTTACTTGAGGATACAACTTTATCGTCATTTTTTGACTGAAAGCCCATGGCATGCGTCTCATTCAAGGATTTTGAGTAAATATGGTAAAAATACTTAATAGACTAAATAATACGATGCTTTTGAAAATGAAGAAATGAAATCCTATCCGATGTGTTCGATGACCACGAAGATGAAAAAACCGTTTTTACTGCTCATTGTCCATTTTCTTTTTTTTTCGATCCTAGATCAATATGAAAAATGAAACGTTAAGATGAAAGCAACGCCGTCAGACTTCATATTCAAACTGTACGTACTGTTTTGTGCTTGACGAAATAATGTATCCCGGATATTGGGAAGATATATCAGGCATTGGATTCCGCAATAACCTCACTTGACGTAATATTGTAATAAATGCATAGTTTCGAATCTCACAGAGTTGCACACAACAGCTTGACACGATTTCCTACGGACGCTTTCAGGAAGTGGAAAGGTGAAAATTGAAGAAAATAAAAATCAACATTCACCGTGAATCCAAAATTAGGTAAATAGTTGATGATACATGCTTTCGGGATGAAACCCATGATGAGCAGCACTGGTATACAGCATAGTAGAACGATTATCGTACTGCGAAAATCAAGCAGCCGAAAACTAAAGGAATCACACGGAGTTCACTTACACCAGTATATACAGTATACACAATACATACATCGTTGGTACATATTTCCTCTTTCCGTTTTTGCGAAAATTTAGATCTTTCGTCGAATTGCGTTTCTCCTTTCATCTCACGCGACGACCATCACTCGCACGAGTTCGCTTCAAATATAAGAGTCGACACCCAGTCAGTATTATGTTCATTTGACTTTTTCGTTCTTTCCTGCGGCATGCGAGTGGAATCGAGGTAAATTACACGCCGTGTCCCACATCACGGGAAAGGCAATTCCCTCAGGGGCCGGGTCTCGGTCGGGCATCGCATCTCATCCTCTTTTTCCGCAGAGAAGCTACTGGTCTTGCATTCTAAAGAGGGCTTCCCTTAATTTATATTCGTCCCTCTCCGATACCTGATGTAGAAACCCACAGCGCCAACAACCTTTTTCGGACAGAGAAGAGGTTCGCGGAGTATTCTAACCTCCTGAATTTCACAATACTGTACAGCTAGTAATAGGAGCGGGAGCAGGGGAAGAAAGAAGAAACCGACATGGAGCAACCTAGATATATAATCACCTAATTGCTTTCACACGCCGCGAGATAATGTAAGAGGGAATAAGCAGCAATCAAAGAGATCCTCGCGTCGAGATTAAAACAGGCTCCTTATTTCTCCCTTGGCTGAGTCTCTGTCATCGCCATCGACGACGAACACTTCGAACAGAGACGCAATTCAAAGCGTATTCCCATTAAATTCCACCAAAAAGAAAAGAAAACCACTTCATTCCGGATTCCATCTGATAAGAAAATGCTGCATTTTTCTTGGGTGGTCTCGTTTATCTATCTCTTCTCCTGCTTGTTCGTCCCGAAGGTGAACGGCTTGAGAAATGGTCTCGACATTCACCGTATATTATAACCTGATTAATCTCGTCCTGCTGCTTATATATACTGTACTGTACTAATGCATATTATGCAGCGGCAATTCGTCCGTGTGAATCTCTATAGTATAATGACGCAACAACGAGCTGAACAAGACGAAAACATAAGATTTCGGGATTTCCACGCAGTAATCTTCAGGAAGGGATATGAATACAGCAGCAGCGAAGCAAACCTCGGCAACGACGAAAAAGAACGACCCATCATCGTTGAAAATCCGAATCGCTTCATACTCTATAACGATGCATAACCCTTTTTCCCCCACGTACGATTGCAACTCGACGTTGATGGAAAAAAAAAGGTAAAGGATGACTACTGTTTCCGCCGTTCGTATATCATGGCAGACATCCTATACGAACGGATCGACACATCAGTACGGGGACGGATTCTAATATCACACTCAATGTCTCCTATATCCGTCAC